TCACATGGCAAGGGTTGAAATGGCAAGCTCCTAGCTAAGGCATGTAACTTGAGGGGCATGTTGGGTAATTTTGAGCCTTTAATTTCCATTCTTTTTATCAAACCTTAACCAAACCCTATTATAACCCAAAAGAAAAGTCCTTTTTGAGAGTTTTGAAGCTTTAGATATCAAAATGATGGCAATCATTAGACTAAAAATAGCAAATCATGATCAAATTCAAGAGCTAATAGATTCAATGAGAAAGCCAATAAATGTCCTTATCAAAGAATTTAACAGCTCTTAGTTTGATCGTGAATTTTTCAAAAAAAAAAAAAAAAGAAGTAAAAGAGGAAAGAAGAGGGTGACCTAGTAAGCTAAATGTTTCCTTAACTTGGAAAGTTGAAGATCCAATGATGAAAGGCATTGTTTCTCTATCCCAAACACTTTACATTGTCCTTTGCTTACCCTTTTTGCGCTAGCAAAAGGCAATCATCCAAATTCAGAAAAGCCAAGATGATTTTCTTCTTGTTAACCCACATTAATGACCGGGGTTGTGAAGAGAGAAATGTGAGGGGAATATATGAAGAAATTGATTTTGAGCCTTTACCCTTTCTTTCATAATAGCCTAATCCCTAGCCACATTGCAAGCCTATACAAAGTCCTTATTTGAGGGTTTGAAACTTTCTTTGTCAAGGAACATTTAAAAAAAAAAAAAAAAACCTATCTCTAGTGAGTCCAAGTCAGCTCAATGGTTTATGATTGGTCTTCTAAACATTGAAAGTTAGTTCATGGGAAGGAGATAGATTTGATTTGTCCACCTTGGCATGGAAGTAGACATTGTCTCATATGCTAAAAACTAGATTGGTGGAGTTACAAAGAAATAAATTCTTGAAGCAAATGCTTTATAGCCTGAATGCTTTATAGCCTGAATGCTTTCTAGCTTTGTTAAAATTGTTGCATCAAAAGTTGTGCAATTCAAAAATCATGTTTATCTCTTTCTATCCATATATATTATCCATGCCCTAGCCTTCTTTTCCTTGTTTAGATTGGGATGTTGATTGGTTATGATGCTTTATTTCAGTTAATATAATTGTTGCAATCTCTTGACAAATCTATAAAAAAAAAATGAAAAAATGAATCAAAAAAATGAAAGTTGCAGAGAAAAGCAAGAGTTTGATTCAATGGTCATGGTGCTTATCCTCTCTTGCAATGATTCGAGAATTTTCTCCAGTGAACTAGAGATGCTCTCAAGTCATTGAACTTTATGCAAAGCATATCATCAAGCCTATTGATGGATGCACAACACAGAGGACACTGGACTCTTGCCAAATATGGGTATCCAATATGTTCAGGGAAGTTTCTTAACCTTTCTTCTTTGTTAAAAAACCATTTTTCATTCGGTTAAAAAAATCATTCCTTGCTTGGTTTAAAAACCATTTCTCTCTTGGTTAAAAAAACCGTTTCTTGTGTGGTTCAAAAACCATTTCTACTCAATTAAAAAATCGTTTCTTGCTTGGTTCAAAAACCATTTCTAGTCGGTTAAAAAACCATTTCTTACTTGGTTCAAAAACCATTTTTACTTGGTTAAAAAACCGTTTCTTACTTGGTTAAAAAACCATTCCTTGCTCGGTCGTTTGACCGTAGCCACTCAAAACTAGCTCGGTCGTTTGACCGCAGCAACTTGACTCACTCGGTTAAAAAACCGTTTCTTGCTTGGTTCAAAAACCATTTCTACTCGGTTCAAAAACCGTTTCTTACTTGGTTCAAAAACCATTTCTCTTGGTTAAAAAACCGTTTCTTACTTGGTTAAAAAACCATTTCTTGCTCAGTCGTTTGACCGTAGCCACTCAAAACTAGCTCGGTCGTTTGACCGTAGCAACTTGACTCGCTCGGTTAAAAAACCATTTCTACTCGGTTAAAAAACCGTTTCTTGCTTGGTTCAAAAACCATTTCTACTCGGTTAAAAAACCGTTTCTTGCTTGGTTCAAAAACCATTTCTACTCGGTTAAAAAACCGTTTCTTACTTGGTTCAAAAACCATTTCT